CTTCTTCCGCCTTCTTTGTAAGGAGAAGCCACAAAACAGGAATCATTTGGGTCTTCACTCAGGCAGCGTCCTGGAGCCAGGTGCTTTGCTGATGGGAAGAACACATTAGGAATAGCTGGATTAGTCAGATCATCACTTCATTTGAGCTGCTTGGTTTTGCCTGGTAGCTGGAAGCCTGCTGCTGGAGTGTTAGGGAACATTCATGGGGGACAAGGCATTTTTAAGCTGTCAGCAGGAGGTGGGATATTGAATTTTGCCCTTCCTCCCTGGGCTGGGAACAAATCCTGGCAGCAATGAGACCTGGATCCTTTCCAGTTGCCATCAGGCACATGCTGATGGTGTCTGTGTCTCAGCCAAATCTTTGTCCTTTCAGTCATTTGCTTTGGTTTTTCTTAATGATCTGCGAAGGACAGCCCTGGGGGGGATGTAAGTGGTTTTATTTACACATGCTCTTTCCGCTGCTATGTCTGTATTGTTATGGGGACTCCCAGCTGGGAGCAGGAAAAGAAGGGTCAGCATTTAGGGATGTGTGGTTTATCCAGCATATACACTTTAAAACACAGGGGAAAAGAGGGCTGTAGCGGGAGAGAGAACATGACAGGCTGAATCCTAGGCACTTTCGGGACTATTTTTAAATGCTTTGTAGTGTTTTTGGAAACAAGAGGTCAACAGCTTGGCTAGAAGCAAGCTGAATGCAGGCGGGTGCTCCTCAGATGTTCCTCGGCTCACGCATCTCGGGCCTGGCACCTGCGCTTTTCCTGCTCTGAACTTGCCTCAGCGCGTATGCCGGTGTCCCCAGTCCCGCCGGTGTCCCCAGTCCCACCGGTGTCCCCAGTCCCACTGGTGTCCCCACCTTGCTCACCCACTCAGCTATGCTGAGCTGTATCAAACCCTGTTCGTGGTCCTTTCCTGCTAAAGGGATCATGGAAAGGGGGAAGTAGAGGCGTTTCCCATTTAACACACCATTTGTGACCTCCCAGAGATGTGCCCCTGGACTTGCAGACTTTTCCTGCTTCTCTCTCGGTCTGCGTTGCTGCCTCCCCTTTCTGTCTGGGTTTTGTTGTGCTCTGTCACTCGGACTCTAAGAGAACTTCTATTTCGCAGCGTTGGCTTTAACCTTGTCAGACAAGCGGGTGAGTGCTGAAAGGCAGGTTTCCAGGCTAGCCGGTTCCCTCGACAGTGAAATTCTTGTACTGGCCGGATACAACTTGTGTCATTTGATGGATTTAAAACAAAGACTTTTTTTTTTCCCTGCATAAGCGCTGCAAGAGGAGCCTGCACATCTCTGTGCTGTTCCCAGGCAGAGCACAAAGCTCTCCTGGAGCATTACCTACAGAGCTTAAGCAACTGCTTCCTAAAAAGCGCTGTCCCCACGCCAGGCTGGCACTATGCTCAGGTGGTGGCGAGAAGGCAATGGCGTGCTGGCCTCATAAGGCGGTCTCCAGTCGCCATTATTAGGGACGTGCAAGCTGGCAGCAACTGTTCCCACGTGCAGTGAGGACAGGGGAGACGTGGAAGATCATTTCAGGAGATTCTGCACCGCTTGCTTCCCTCGGAGGGAGACGGGTACAGGGCTTCCCTCCTTGGCACCAGGCTGGCAGGTGATGAGGCCAACGTGCCCAGCCGCTGTTGCTGCCGGTTTGCGATCCTGTTGGAAGCAAAGCACATCTGGTGCAACTGGCAGCAGGCCTGCTCGGAGCGCCGGCGAGGCTTTCACGTTTGTAACTGGAGGGGATAGACCTCTCGCAGACAGCATGAAGTTTTGTTGCTTCAGGGAAGACCATAAGGCACGAACAAATGTCTGAGGAGTGTCGAGAGAGCGGTGGTTATGTGAAGGGGCAAAAAGCAGAGCACCCTTCCCCATCGGCACCATCAGCGGTGCCTATTTCAGTGCGCCTGGGACCGGGAACAGAGCACGCGTGCCCAGGGGCTGTGTGTCGGGCGAGGGAGCAGCCAAGTCGGCCTCGTCCCAGTGCAAAAAGCACAAACCCTGTGAGGATGGGCTTTCCTTCTGTCGGACAGGCCTTCCAGTCGCATTTTATTTTCTACTCCTGGCACTCAGAAGGAAAGTAAGGAAAGGCTTTTGTGGTTAGTGACGCTGTCATTACAGGACAGTTGGCATCCGAGTGGCCTCCTGAGCCCCTCCTGCCTTGGAGCGACCAGTAGGAAGGCAGGGGGGTTTTCCACGTAGTAAGGCACTCTGAGTCGACCTGCTTGAAGGCAGACTTAGCGGAGGGGCTGAGAGGTTGGGGCTCTCCACCCCTTCTGCAGGCATCCTTCATCATGCAAATTCACTTCTTTACCCTTTTGCTCCCTTTTTCAGATACGCAGTCTCAGCCGATACGGGGGAGAGCAGGGTGGGGGCCGTTTACTGGCGAGGCTAATGTACAAAGCAAATGCTGTCTCTCCTGCGGTGGGGAGACAGGACAGGGCAGCCGCAGGGGCTCCCTCCGGCTGGGGGCTGGGGGGCTGGCCCGTTTTTTAGCATCGCGTGGTCCGAAAGCTGCTGCAGTCCGCAGGGTGGTTCCCATTGACTCCGTGTGCAGCCCCCACGGATGCACAGGGAGCGCAGGAATCGCTGCCGTGCGTGTGAGGGGGGATCTCGGAGGAAGGCAGCCAGCACCACGTGGGTGTGACTGGAAGCACTGGAGCCTTCCAGGCTCCTCTGTGGCCCTCTCCCAACAGCCAGCGCCTGCTGCCAAAGGGATTTATTCCAGTTACACAGCTCACCCAGTTATCTCCCATGACAGGGAAGAAAACTTGTTTGATGATGAGGAACCATTACAAATTACAAGCTTTGTGAGTTTGGGACAAACGAAGCCCCTGAACGCTGCCTGGTTGAACGCTCTGTCTGTGCTCTGTGTGATAAATAACAGCTGACTTTTCCATCGCTAGGAAATGAATCACTGTGGAGGCAAAACCAAAAAGGAGCCTCAGTCCCGCTAGGAGACCTGAGAAGGAAGCTGTTGGAGGAGAGACGCGTACTAACTCCACTGGCCTGTAGTCTGTCTTACCCTTACTAACAAATGTCAACAACTAGGTAATGTCCTTCCTCTGTTCTTTCTGACACTAACCCAGGACTTGGGGGTCATGGTGCAGAAACATTAGTTTTTCCCTGTGTTTTAAAGGATAAGTCCTGAGCCAGGCAAAATTTAGTATCTTTTAGTAGAGCCGGGAAAATTTGAATCTCATCCCAAAAACAGACTGAGAAGGAATAAAGCCAGCCAGAGAGGATGCTGAGAAGGGGCTGGTTTAGACCCTCGTGCAGTCTGCCTCTCAACAAGAGATCTGAGTCAGGGCTGTAACCTGGGAACAGGCTTGAAACTGGGAGGTAGCAGGGAGCATTTCATTTCCTTCCCAAGCTTTGGTGATGGGTTCGGGAAGCAGCAGGTACAGTTGTCTTTGCAGTGGTGGGAAGGGCTGCTCATCGCAGCTGTGAGGACTTGGAATGGGGAGGAAATACAAATGTCTGGATTTTGGTAGCTCGCGTGTAGCAGGACTGTGACCGTGCCTTGTTGGCAGCTGCCACGGGGGTGGGGGATGTTTCCAATCACATCAGATTTCAATAGGTTTGGGTAAGGAGCGTGGCAATGGCCAGTGCCTTGGGTTTCAACCAAAGTCAAACAAAGACCCCGAGTCCTGATGCGCCTGGACCCTTGTGTCATGGAAACATTCCTTCCTGCCTCCTGAAACGCTCAAGTTACATCCTGATGCCTGAGATTCAACTCCTTATTTCAGCTCAGATATTACTGGGTTACAAAATCCGGGCAGTGCTTGGATCAGTGCTTTCTTGCAGCAGCTGCACATTGTGTGGTGAAGTGTTTCCTTTAATTCATTGTTCAGTGACATGCTTCTGATCCCTGCGGTGTGACCTCTCGCTGCAGGATGCGCTTCCCAAGCGTGAGTCAAGGGAGGAAGAGCTGTGCTGAGGGGAAGCCGCTTTTTGTGCTGACATCCCATTCTCATCCTCCATCCATCCATCCATTTCCCTAGACCCTGGAGCTATCCTATGAAGTACAAATAATACAGCAGCCAGCGAGATCATATACCTGGTGAAGTCACCATTAACAGACCACTAAGGTGCCGAGGGATGGTGAAAGAAAGCGTCAAGTCAGGCTAAAAATAATATAACCCTGAATCATTAGCATGACTCTGCCACGCCGGCTGTGTTGTGAAGGACCATTGGGTACACCCAAACCATGAGATTGTGATGTCCTATTTACGCTTCTGCTTACAAGTTTCGTGCCCATCCTTGGGTGAACGTGCATATAAGACCTACTAACCTGAGGGCATAGTCTGTTATTGCTGGAATGACCAGGCTGTGATCTTTAAAAATATCTGAAGACTGCAAGGGAGGACAGAGAAGCTCTAGAGGAATGTAAAAACCTGTACCTGTAGTTAAACACCCTTGGTAGCCTCGTTATTGTGCCAAGGGTTATTTTCATAGACCAAGGTCACTGGTGTGCAGTGAAAGCTGCTGTCATCATGCTGCCTGGATGGTGGGCAAACAGGAGGCATAAACAGCTGTGGGGTTTTACTCTGCAGGGGCGTCTGCCAGCAGTCCCCCGGATTCTAAAATGGGCTTTAGAAGAGTGGCAAGGATGCAGAGGGCTCCTGGGGAGAGCGCAGAGAAGCCCAGAGGTCTTGGAAAAGCAACTCACAGGAATGATGGAGAATTTGGGTCATGAGCCCCTAATAAGAAGGGACACTGGGTGATATTGGCCTGGGCAGTGGGGAGCTGCTGCTCCCTGCACAGAGGCTTAGCGGAGGGCCGCTGGTTGGGAGATGCTGCGTCCTTGGTGGCTGCAGTGCTTGGCTCCTACTGTCCCAGATCCCCGGAGAGGAGGCGAGTAGCAGAAGTGCTGCTGGCGGTGCGTAATGCAACACAAGAGCCAGGAAGCTGATGCACTTCCCCCCTGTTGCTCAGCTTCCCCCCTGCCCTGACAGCCCCGCTCGTTTCTCTTGCAGGGAGCAGCCAATCTTCAGCACCAGGGCCCATGTTTTCCAGATCGACCCTGCCACCAAACGGAACTGGATCCCCGCCAGCAAGCACGCTTTGACTGTCTCCTATTTCTACGATGCCACGCGCAATGTGTACCGGATCATCAGCGTGGGGGGCACCAAGGTAGGGGACATTCGCTGACAGCATCACACAGCTTTGACAGCAGGTTTTTCTCCAGCCAAAGTCTGTTCTGGTGTTGAGGTTTTTGGTGTAGAGTTGCTCAGTCCTCGGCATGAGCAGTCTGGCATCTTCCCTGCAGGGAATGGAAGGTAAAACACTGCCTCCATGCTCAAGTGTGTTTAGTGTTAGACTCTAGAATCCGTGCTGACAAAAAATGTGCCCTAGGGTCTGATGTCATCCCTCCCTGCCCCACTCTCTTCTCACCCCCCAGGCATGCAAAACATAAGCTTTTTCTGAGAGCCTTCATCCTGTGCTAAAACCAACCCCTGTAGGTAGAATAAAATGACAGACAGAGGTTGAGGGAGGCTCAGAGGCAGTCTTGCAGTCACTTCCACAAAACACCATTAACTCTCCCTAAACTGCTCTTGATAGGCATTTCCTGACCTGTTCTTGAAGACCTCCAACAGCAGAGATTCGGCAGGCTTCCCAGGCAACTTATTTTGTTGCTGCCCCAACCGGCAGAGAGTGTTTCATAATAGCTAGTCCTGACTGCTGTTTAAGCCTTTTTTTTTTTTTCCTTACTTGCCATGAAAATGAAGAACATTAGAAAGTCGTTCAGCCCCCAGAGACACGCTGTCTCCTATCTTCTTTTCCAGCAATGGAGGAAGATGAAGATACCCAGGCTTTTTTTTTTTTCTTTTTCAATAGACAAAGATGTTTGAGATTTGTTCGTCACATAGCCAGACTAGAAAGACTTGTGGTCACCAAAAGCCTGAACTATTGTCTTACAGATCAAAAGTCAGAGCTTTCTACCCCTAGTTCCTAGAGTACACGGGGATCATAGTGCTCACTCCCCCCTACCCCCACCCCAGGGCAGCAGGCTGGAGTTTTCTCTGACTGTAGTTGTTGCCTCTCTCTGCAGGCAATCATCAACAGCACCATTACCCCCAACATGACCTTCACAAAGACGTCCCAGAAATTTGGACAATGGGCAGACAGCCGAGCCAACACAGTGTATGGGTTGGGCTTTGCTTCGGAGCAACATCTCTCCCAGGTAATGCTGCAGGTGCTGGCAGAAACCTGATGCTGGCAGGGGGAATGTCCCTGAAACCCTGAAGGGGAGATCAGCCTCGGGGGGAAAGACTTTAGGAACCTGATGTAACACTCTTCCCACTGTGCTAAAATCCAGTGCAAGATGCGAGGAAGAGCTTTAAAGTAATATTTTCAGAGTGTTTTGAGCTTTGCAAATTGAATTAGGACTTCAGGTTCAATTTCTGTCTTTGCTGTTTAGCGAACCCCACAGTCCTGAGTGCCAGAATCATGGGCAGGAAGGGGCTATTCCCTGGATTTTATCATTAGTTGAAGAGAAATTAAAAAGCATGTCGAATGAAGTTGCAAAGGGAGGAGTAACCCAGGCATCAATTCTAGTTCATTCCGCATTTCAGCGTAGCACCAGAGTGACTTTTCCGCTCCCCTCTAGTTTGCAGAGAAGTTCCAGGAAGTGAAAGAAGCGGCCCGTTTGGCGAGGGAGAAGTCCCAGGATAAAACGGAGCTGACCAATCCTGCCCTGAGTATCACATCGCACCAGGTAATGCTTGGGAAGAGGCACGAGTAAAGCTTGCTGCAGAGCGATGGCAGCTAGGGAAGACGGCTGATCTCCTCTAGGAGCTTCGTGCTTTCATCCCTTTCTCTCTGAGAGCTTTCTTGCCAGCCACTGGGGCTGGAGCGTCACATTTTGATGATATTTGTGGCCCTGAGATCACGCTACTAAAACGCATGAAGTAGATTAACTAATTAGGGTTTAAGTGGAGCTCCTGGGAAGGTTCACACTCCTCCCTCTTTGCCAGTTAAATTGTCAAAATCATTCGATGTCTTATAAAGCCGTGCTGGAGGTGTGGGGGGTTTTGGTGTGGTGGCTGAGATTTTTTGGTTTGGTGGGCTTGGGTGTGTTTCTTTTTTTAATTGGAGCTGCTGGCTCTCCCTGGGCTCAGTGTGACAGTAGCAGGCAAGCTGCATGTAGGAGCGCGTGTCGCCTGGTTGAAGATCATGGGAGGGAAGACGCATGGCTGGCATTTCCAACCATTTTCCTTCCTCTTCTGGGGCTGCAGGGGGTTCTTCCCCAAGCGTCTCTGATAGAGGATGGTGCTGTCCATGGGGGTCCATGGAAAGACAAAGTGATTTCTTAGACCTGGGGACTGAGGAGCTGGACTTCTTTGTTTCTGTCATATTTCCACTGTGGAAGAGAAGCTGTGCTGTGAGAGTAGAAATCGCTCCCCCCCTTGGGAACTCTCCCCTAAGGTAGAACTGCACACATGACAGCCAGTCATTCCATTTTCTTTCCCTCAGGAGACCAAGCCAGAAAGCTTAAGCCCATCACGGATCATTGGCACGTGTGTTGCATTTGCAGTTGTTACCTTTTCTCCCTATACAGCTAAACCAGCTCCAGCAGCAGGGGGATGGAGGGGAGAGGAGGAGCAGTGGAGATCCCTACCCTGCTTTTTCCCACGGTGAAGCAGTTCTGTGCTGATGGCGAAGTTGCCCTCCCAAGCAGTTCACTCCAGAGGTGGCTCTGCATTTCCCAGAGCTCCTGGCAGTAGGAGAGGAGCTGTAGGATGGAGGACAGTGCGTTCTCTGGGCTGAGTACAGATGGAGTGGCAGCAGAGGAGGAGGAGGGAGTGCGAACAGTACCTTGGCCTGCAGGAAAAAGAGGGGGAGGTGGAGGCGGTGGCTCCGCAGAGACTGGAAATGTCGTGTGGGGTGCAGAAATGGGGAAAATCTAGCTTTTGGCTCCTGTGAACTCTAAGCCCCATCCTAATGGGTGGCAAATGAAGAAGGGAGTAGAGCATTCATGGCAGAACCAAAGTTTTAGGTAAAAGACTCTGCTCTGTAATAATTGCCCCAGACAAGAGATTTATGGCCAGCTGTAGCCTCCACCTCCTAGCTCCCCTGGCCAGGAGATGGAGGCTGGGAGTAGAGATACTCCCTCTTAGCCTGCTTACACCAGGCAGAACTCATCAGCTGCCACAAAAAGACATGTTCATCTCCCCTATGCTACGATGGCAACTTGCAACAGAAGGGATAAGGAGGTCAGAAGGTGAATATTAAACACAGATCAGGGAAACAGCCGAAGGCTCTGTTCGTTCTTCTTACCTGACTCAGCAGCGCTAAAGCCGCCGCAACGGGAACCCATGGTCACTCTTCCCATTCAGCCTGCCTCCTCTCTCGGTGGGAGAGCTGGGACACGAGTGTGAGCTTGGACACAAGCATGCACGGCCCCTGCCTGCAGCCATCCGGCAGCCGGCGTGCGTGGCCCCTGCCATCTGGGCATGCAGACCTTGTCCTGCCTCCCCCAGCCTGTTGGTACATCAGCCCGCCATCCCTTCTCCCACTGTCCCACTGCTGATTCGCAGCCTCTACATGAGCAGAGCTTCAAACAGGAGCTTAATCCTTGAATAATTGATTGTGTTTCTGTTTGCAAGTGAGCAGAGAGCACATCTGTCTCCTGAAATTAAATCAGGGCTCCCTCATTTTCTGCATCTGCACTAGTTTACTTAGGCTTCAGATTTTCAGAGCTGGGGAAATCCCAGGACAGCAGCTCTCTTCTGTCCTCTAAGTACCTTTTAGGCCAATCCCCATCCCTTTTAGCATCCCCAATCACAGAGTATCATGTAAGCAACAAAACAGTGTAGAGCATCTTCAACTGTTACCAGTTTCACTTGGACTCACAGGGGCTCAACCCAGGGAAAAGGAAACTTCTGCCCCTTCCCTGCCTCAGTTTCCCCACCTTGCGGTAAAGGTGAGGCAGGGTTGTGTTTTGCAGGTCTTGGCTTCTCAATTGCTCTCTGGAAGGCTTCACGAAGCTGGTGTTCAATACATCTCGTGGCCCTGTCTGACTCTATTTATAGGTGTCAGCCGACTCTGCAGGCGGGTGGTTGTCCTTACCACGGGCATTTGAGGGCTACCTATCAGCTCCAGCAGGCTCGCCAGCCACCTGGTCTCACAGCCCCCAACTTAGGATCCCAGAGATTCATTGCTCAGAGAATCTTTTTATAGCTGAGTTCACCCCATCGGTGCCAAGCTTCTTCCCTGCTGTGAGAGGGAAGACAGGGTCTTCTGGAGGGGCCGGAGGGTGTAAAGTCTGCTTTGGCTTCTGCGTATTTATCTCTGCTCCGCTGTCAGTTCCCTCCAGCCTGGGAGGACAAAGTGTTTGTCTCTGCTTAGCTCTGGGGTACAGAAGAATATGGAGCCATAGAGAAGGGTGTAATTTGGTGCAGGGGCTGTGAGTTTCTTCTCCCACACCTTTGGAAAGTGGGTGCTGCAGTCATCTGAGCACTAGCAGAGTTTCCCTCCCTTGAGCCTGAGTAACCCTATCCCAACGGCACCTGGTGTCTTAATTCAGGGTACAGAAGCTGGATTTGTGACTGAACCCAGGTGGCCTGAATCATAGAGTGCTTTGGGTGGGACGGGGCCCCTAGACATCACCCAGCCCAACCCCCCTGCAGGAGCAGGGACACCTTTAACCACATCAGGTTGCTCACAGCCCCGTCCATCCTGGTCTTGGATGTTCCCAGGGATGGGGCCTCCACCCCCTCTCTGGGCAACCCATTCCAGTGGGACGCAGGTCTGCGTTTAGAGTTTGTTAAGTCTTTCCACTGCTCTGACAACCAGCCAGAAAATCCTAATAAGAATTCAGCAAAAGCCTGAAACGGCCAGCTTGAGCAGCTCGGAGCGTGGTGCACAGCCGCAGGACTCAGGTTACCGGCTGCAACATCGCTGGCATTTGTCAAGGGGAAGCTGAGGGCCAGGGAATTCGGTGCCTCAAGTCAGGAGGGAGGCATAGCTGGGGTGTGCAAGCTGTGAGCCCACCTGCTCGGGTGTCTGTGCATGGGGACTGCAGCCCCAGCGTGGCACGGGGACAGGGAAAGGGAGGGCATGGCAGCAGGGCAGCTGCTGGAAGAGCTGAGCACTGGCCTCCCTATCCTAGAGAAAGCCCTGTGTCCGTGTAGCTTCCGAGGTCATCGCTCTGCCATCACTGGTGCTGCTGAGCCTTACGTGAGGATCTTTGCCACCCCTTGTCGTGCAGACAGGCACAGCGCTCCCTGGGAGTTAGGACTGGAAGCCAGCGTTCCCCAGGAGAGTGCAGGGACTGAGAACTAGCCCTGACTTTGCGGAGTCCTTGTGGCCGCGTGGCCTGTCTTCACTGCCGTGTGATAACCACCTCTTCCTCATCCCCCAGGTACTTCCCAGCCCCATCATCAGCTCCAATGGGCCAGGAGAAGATAAACTATTCCGGAGCCAAAGTGCCGACGTTGAGATAACAACAGAGAAGGAGCGGCTGAAGAAGATGCTTTCAGAAGGGTGAGGCTGCCACAAGCGCTCTCTGCTCCTGACTCCTAAACTCTCTGTTCTGTCATGATTTGGTGCCTGTCCCTGTCACCCCAAATGCTTTGGCCCAATGCTACTTCTTGAGGTAGCTGAGTAATGCCCCATGTCTGCTGCTGCTCAAACCCTTCACTGCACCAATTTCCCCTTTTCCCCAGTATAAAGTTATTCCAGCTCGGAGGTGAAATCTGCCGTTCAGGCGGCGTGGGAAGGAGAATGCTCCGTGCCCACAGCGGGGATGAGTCGATGCCAGTTATCTACAGATCAGTAGTTTGTGATACCAGAAGATGTTCACACTTTTCCAGCTGGCCCAGGGCTGCATTTGTGCTAATTCCCCTGATGGTTCCAGCAAAGTCCCTGCTGCTTCCACTCTTTGTCTGTTCAAAAAACTCCAGGCTGGATTCTGCCCTGTGGCTCCGGTTGAGTTTGCAGCTGAACACTTAGAATATTTTTAAATCAAAAGCAAGTGTCCTCTGCTACCTGCTCCTGAGTCTGGGGCGGTAGGGTTTTATTCAGAGCAAACTCAGATCTAACAAAAATTTTTAAAATGGATTCAGAGTCCCACATTGCAAAGCTCCTTTATAGTAGCTGTAGCTCCCCCACCCCATTAATCTCACAGTGTGGTTTCTGCAGGTTCAAGCAAGCACACGTGGCCTCAAAGTCAAATATTATCCAGGGATAAAGGAAAGAGGTGCAGATTTAGGGGCTGGAAGAAGCATTTAAATTTGGGAGGTGATATGAAAGCCAAATAGAAAACAGGGAGCTGCCCAGCGCTCCAGGAGCGTGGTTTCAGCACATCTTAGCACTGGGGGAAGAAACCTTCATGCTGAGACTCTCTTATGCTCTCCTGCACGCTTCCCCTGTTCTCTCACACAGTTCGGTGAGTGAGGTCCAGTGGGAGGCTGAATTCTTCAGCCTTCAGGACAACAACAACAAGCTCGTGGCTGCTCTCCATGAAGCCAACGCCAACGTGGACCAGTGGAAGAAGCAGCTGGCTGCTTATCAGGAGGAGACAGAAACACTGCGGCAGCGGGTGAGCACCGGAGGGCTCTTGCAGAGCAGGTCAGAGGAAGCCCCGTCCCAAAGCCAGGTGGTGCCCTTGACCCCGTTCTCCCAGTTCCTATGGGTGTCAGCAGGAGATGAGAAGGAAATCCAGGATGCTGCAGGAGCCTGGCAGGGAAAATATGTCAAGGAATAGGGCCGTGTAACTAGGGAGCTCTCACAAGAGCTCCTGGTTTTGGCAGAGCAGGCTCGAGGGTGTGCTGAGTCCCCGTGGATAAAGGGAGGAAACCAGAGCACAAAGCCAAAGAATACCAGCTTCTCTTCAGATTTTCTGGGGGTAGTTCCCTGCTGCCAGCAATACTGAGTAAGGCCTGTGCCCCCCCTGAGCTGGGCATCGGGGCAGTCTTCTGGCTGCTGACAGGAAGGATGAAGATTGCTCTATCTGCTATAATTAGCTCGAATCCAAGCTGCGACATCATGAAACCCGGGTGGCACAGTACAAACAAGCCCTTGTTCGGTTGGAATAATAGGATCTTTTGACCTACGTAATATCAGAGAGGTCACGGATCAACTGAGGAGGCCCCTGTGCATCTGGGCAGAGGAGTGACAGTCACACGGTTGGGTTTGCTGGGAGGGAAGAGCTGCGGAATAACTTGGGAAGGGGGTTTAGGAGAGTTGGGGTTTGGCTGGGGAAGGACTCTGGAGCCCTGGAGAAGGCGGCATAAAGCCATTTCGCTTCTAGACAGCTCATTGAAAAGGCAGCAGGGATTGGTAGCAATTAACAGCTGTTTCCACTTGATGGCTGTTGTGTGGCCAGTGTGTGCCGTAAACAGCCGTCCCCCAGGAGTCACCGTGCCCATGGCCAATTCTCAGTGCTGGAGTCAGATGGTAAAGGAGCTGCACAGAACAAATTTTCTCCTCTGCAGCAGGAGCCTGCCCTAGGTATAGCAGAGATCTTGGCTGTGTGTATGTGAGTGTGGTTTGGGGGCTGGCTGGGATGAGCTGCCTTTTCCCTGCCATGGCTCTGTGCATGCTCAGCCATTCGGTGGCTGTTCTCACAGCGAGGAGTGAGGATTTCCTGAGCCTTAGGTGAAGGGCAACCGCTGGGCACTGTTGCAGAGTCATGGAAGAAACTACAACTCAGTGAAATGTCTGGATTAGTGTCCCTAAACCAGAGCATTTCTGGGACCAGAGCTGGTTGATTCTGGCCATGACAGCCTGTTTACACAGGCCCTGGCAGAGGCTCAGTCCAGCCAGCGTTGAACCCCTGCTGCCGCTGGGAAGGTGTCACACCAGGGTCCAAGCCCCGTCTACGTGAGAGTACCCATCGCTGGAGCTGCACTTGCAGAGCTCAGTGAGAGCTTGGGCCCCAGCGATAGCTGCTGCAGACCTTCTGATGAGCTTTTAAAAATGAATCCTCTTCATGAATAATCTAAGCCACTGGGCTGAATTTTTCAGGAGTGGGGAGCACGCTTGGGCAAACCCTTCCTGCCAGCTCTGCTGGGGTTGAGCTGCAGTAACTCCCTTGCCCTCCACAGCCTCTGCCCAGGGATGTAAATGGAGCTGGATTTAGCCATTCCTATGGGTTGTAGGCTCACGTGCTTGATGTCCACCAGTTAGGCTTTTCTGGAAGTGCAAGACTGCAGGAGAAAGCAGAGACAGAGTCTCTAGACAGAGTTTTGCCGCAATGTGTTTCTGCGCGTGATCTATGCAGAACAGGAGGAGAGAATTTTTTCTGAGCCGCCCCAAGGTGGGAGCTGCTATCCTGTTGTAAGCCTGGTTGGGTTTCAAGGAAGCCAAAACTTGACAGAGAACGACTTTGGGTGATAAGGTGTCGGGGCATTCCTGTATCTCTCAAGCATGTCTTCCCTGTGCTTGCTTCCATGTAGGTAGCAGAACTGGAGTCACAGGGTGCTCACGATTCCTCCAGCGAGAACAACAAAGAAGAGCTGAGCCAAACCCTGGAGGAGCTGGAACTACTGATCAAGGCTAAAGACGAGGTAATACCCCGCAGAGCAGAGTAAAGCCTGAGGCTGGGTGGCCCGTCAGTCACCAACACCCTGTCTGTCCCTACAGCCTGTATGAGGCCGGTGGGCCCCTCGTCCTGGTGCACACGCTGCTGGTGCAAGCCGGGAGCCTCTGTAAGCCAGCACAGCCCCCTCGGTGGTCTCCCTTCCCTGAGAGGCAAAGCCGAGCGAGAGTAAAGTGCTGGGAGTTTCCCCTGCAAACAGCCTTGAGTGGAAAGTCTCAGACTCTGCCCAAACAGCAGGGATGTGTCTTACCCCTTCCCCTCTCAGCCATCTGCAGCTGCAGTTCACCTCCAGTGTAGTAATTGCTTCTCGCTTTCACTGCATTTAAATGAATGATTTAAAGCAGAGTTTTAATTACAGAGGCTGTGAAGGAGGGGAGATGTGGAGAGCATCTCTCTGATTTGCACATCTGCAGGCTCTCTGGTGGCCGTGCTTCGGCAGGGTGGGTGGACAGAGCCTTAGGGTTGGAGCCACAGAGCAGGGATTGGGCAGGGGAGGTGTTTTTGGGGTTCCTGATCCTTAGTGAGGAGACATCTCGCCCCGCTTCCCAGAGCTGCTCAGGCTAAAGCAAAAACGCTGGGGCAAGGCAGAGGTGTGCAAAGGCTTTCACCCAACAGCTGAGCAGGGACCCTGGCCCCAAGAGCCTGGGATCTGATCTTGAGCAAGGATGCAGCAAGGTGCAAAGACGTGACTCCGGTCATCTTGATTAGGGACTAACGGCTTAGAGGGAGGCGACAGGTACAGCAGAAGTAGAAGGTTAGGAAGGGAGATATTAAAATTTGGAGCTGAGTGGGATTATGTGATCCTTGGAGAGAGGGACGGGGCCTTGGTTGGGGTATGTGGTAGGAGCTGGCGCCACTGGGACAGGAGTGGGTCTGACATGCTGCTCTTCTCCTTGCGTTTTAGGAGATTCAGATGCTAAAGAGCCAGAAGTGTGGCCGATGGGAAGCAGAGGCCCTCGGGTGGCCGTGCTTCGGCAGGGTGGGTGGACAGAGCCTTAGGGTTGGAGCCACAGAGCAGGGATTGGGCAGGGGAGGTGTTTTTGGGGTTCCTGATCCTTAGTGAGGAGACATCTCGCCCCGCTTCCCAGAGCTGCTCAGGCTAAAGCAAAAACGCTGGGGCAAGGCAGAGGTGTGCAAAGGCTTTCACCCAACAGCTGAGCAGGGACCCTGGCCCCAAGAGCCTGGGATCTGATCTTGAGCAAGGATGCAGCAAGGTGCAAAGACGTGACTCCGGTCATCTTGATTAGGGACTAACGGCTTAGAGGGAGGCGACAGGTACAGCAGAAGTAGAAGGTTAGGAAGGGAGATATTAAAATTTGGAGCTGAGTGGGATTATGTGATCCTTGGAGAGAGGGACGGGGCCTTGGTTGGGGTATGTGGTAGGAGCTGGCGCCACTGGGACAGGAGTGGGTCTGACATGCTGCTCTTCTCCTTGCGTTTTAGGAGATTCAGATGCTAAAGAGCCAGAAGTGTGGCCGATGGGAAGCAGAGGGCGAGCGTGAGGAAACGCTGCAGAAGCTGCAGGTAAGGATGGCAGATCTGGGACAGCGCTGCACTCAGAGTAGAGGGATCCATCCCTGTTTCTCCTTTGAGCCAAAGAGTGAATGCCGCAGAGCTGCCATGCCTATCTCTGCCACTGGGTGATGGGAACAGGTCCTTGCCTGTGTCTCTGCCTTCTCCCACCCTCCCTGCATCCTTCAGAGATACGACATGGGGCACAATCAGCAGGCAATAGCAAACCCAGCCTTCACGTACTCTCCTCTAGCGCTTGCAGTAGCCCCTGACGTGGGACTGGAGCAGGACCCGTGATATCCCGTGGCCCTCCACCTCTCTGAAGTCCTCCCTAGCTTGCTGGGTGGACAGGGATGGCTGGGGAGCAGAGCTCTGGCTCAGCCTGGCTGGCAGGAGGGATGCAAGCTGCTCTGCACCTCAGGGCAAGGATGCAGATGGAAGCACGGTCTGTTGTGCAGTCTCTGGGGGCACTGCCTGCCTGTGTTTTACCTCCGAGTCACTGAACGAGAGGATCTGTTGCGGGGCTTAGCCCCACATGCAGGCACTGGGGCAGAAAATATCTCCAAACATCAAATGCCATCAGGCTTGGAGATGATAGGCATGTGAGGAGGTCTGCATCTATACACCTTTGCAAACTGCGGGCAGATGCCTGGGTTTGGGGAGCATGTGCTCATATGCATGTGCATGCTGGGGTGCTGTGGCCCAAGATAGGGAGGTCCCTCAGTGATGGAGGGGGACCGGGCTGGCTGGGTGGGGTGCTGGCAGGGCTGTTGTGTGGAGATAAGGGCGATGGTCTGTGCGCAGTGTGTATCTGTGCTGGTGCAGCCACCTCACCGCACTTGTGTCCTTCGGCAGGAGCTGGAGGCATGCAACGCAGAACTGGAGCGACGCCTTCACCTGGCCGAGCAGACGCTGGCGGAGACCCTGGCTGAGAGGGAGAAGATCCAGAACGAGGTCACCAAGGTGGCGGAGATAATGGATGTGAAGATATTTGAGCTCAGCGAGATCCGTCAGGGACTGGCCAAGCTGGTAGAGAGCAACTGAGCAGCAGCACGCTCAAAGGAGACACCTCCAGAGGAGGGGAGCCCGAGCTGGGACTGGTCACTGACAGCAATCACGGTCACAGAACAGCCTCGAGGTCTGTTTGGGCAGGATACGCCAACATACCAGCAGCTGCCTGGACAGTGTGCAGACCAGCCACAGCCACTTACTGCCCACCGAACACCCAGGCAGAGGGCAGAGAGGACCTGGGCTCCTGAAGCCTCTACAGGGAGCATCTACAAACCACAGCCAGACCTCTCTGGACCCTGCCATGGTCATGGCATGGTCCAGAGACAGCAGCTGTCCCTGTGCTGCCTTCCCAGCCTCCCTGCTGCCACACTGTGTCTCCAGCGTTTTTACAGTTTTCTAGGGGAAGGGGCTGAGCAGCCTTCGCGTTTTTTCAGTAGTTTTTTAGGAAACCACTTGCCTTTTGCAAATAAGCTGCCTGTTTCCCCACCTAGGGAGGGAGGAGAAATCCTAGCACACCGAGGACAACAGTTGCTCCTTTTCCTCTTCCCCAGCCTGAACTACATCGTGTCTTTTCTAACAGGATCCACTGACACGGGTCACTGTCCGGAGCTTCCCGAGGTAGCAGAGTCCCCACTGCAGAGAAGGGTGCTTGCCTGACCCTGTGTCCTTCCCACTGCTCAGTCACATCCTCCAGAGGAAAAGGAACTGCAGGTTTTAAAGCTCTTATTAGTTTAATGCAGTGGGATTTAATGACTTGTTAAAAATCCTTTAAGCTGAGAAGAGTAGAGGCTTGGTTGGGAAAGGGGCCTTTGAGAAATGGGACATCCCTGAGGGGGTGGCCAGCAAACTGCTAGACTGGCATCTCTCCTGGCCTCTAAGGGCTGCAGTTAATTGAAATTAAATGGAGCAAATTGCAGTTGCTCTTGGTTTCTTTTTTTCATTTTTTCCTGGGAAACAGTCCACAGAGATGTCCTGCTCCATGTCAGCTGAGCAGTATTCCTTGTGAAGGGTACGGGTCCCAGCTTGCCATGCTTGGCCAGATTAAACGAGAACAGGAGGCGTTTGGAGCATGCTGGGACCGGCACCCTGCGGGGCCTGTGGGAAGTTTGTGAGTTATCGTAGGTGTTGTCTAGTAATAGGAATTGAGCAAGGCCTGAGGGAGGCACCACAGAAACCTGGAAAGTTGTGTGTCCCCCCCGGCGCCCGCTGCGCCCCCGTAGTTACCTAGGAGCATGCTTAGCCCTGCGCTGAATGACGAAGCAGTGTCTGTGTAGAAGTAGTTTGTAACCTTACCGGAGTGTTGATGGATTTGGATTTTGTTGTTGGGTTTTTTTGCCCTCTTTGCCGCTATAAATT